TAAACTTATATGGAAGAAAGGGGTTTTGGGCCCACAGTTTCAGAGTTTCAGTCCAGGGTCTCTTGGCCCTGCTCTTTACGTTCTGGGCTGAGGCGGCACGTCATGGTGGAGAGTGTATTATGAAGGAGGCAACTCACTTCATGGTGGCCAGGAGGCAAATAGAAAGAAACAAGGGTTCCAACATGGGGTGTGCTCCGCAGTGCCCTAACTTCCTTTCAGTAGGCCCCGCCTTCTAAATGTTCACCACTTCCCAATAGCACTGCAGGATAAGGACCAGGTCTTTAACATGTGAGCCTTTGGGAGGCACTCAAAATCCAAACTAATGTAAATGGGAGGAGTTTTGAAGATTGATTGTCTGCCTGCGGGTGGTGGGGAAAGAATATACCATACAGAGCCAACAGGATGGGACAGAAGTGCCTGCATATATGGCAGGGCACAACCACTGTTGGAGCCATCGGTCATAAGGAATGGCTGGACATGTGTGGCAGCCATTGTGAAGAGTTTGGCTTTCTCTTGCAGGGATCTATTATTTTATTTAATTTTTTGGTATGGGGAATCGAACTCAGGATCTTGCACTTGTGAGGCAGGTGCTGGAACCACTGAGCCAAATCCCTGGCTTCTTACAGGGATCTAAAAGAATTAACGATTGTCTACAGGCCTCTGTACCTGGAGGAAATACATTCCTGACCCAAGACCACATCAGTGGCAACAGAAAACTTTAGTTTATCAGGATTTTGGACCTTTGAGACCAAGTTATAAGAACAAATGAAATAACAGATGTGAAAGCATACTATTTTTTTTTCTATTTTTTCAGGGCTGAGACCCAAACCTAGGGCCTGCCATATACTAAACACTTGCTCTGCCACGGAGCTACACATTTGCAGGTTTCAAGGCCATATATTTCAATAATAATAAACTATAGCAAGCATGGTGGTGCACAGCTATAATCCCAGCACTCAGGAGGCTGAGGCAGGAGGATCGCTGTGAGTTCGAGACCAGCCTGGGCTGCATAGTGAGTTCCAGATCAGTCTCAACTATATAGTGAAACCCTGTCTCAAAAAAACCAAAACCAACCGACCAAACAAAAAAAAAAAACTATAATAAGAAATCATTTTGATTCTGAACATGACTAATATTTTTGTGTAGCAGGATCATCCCAACTGTTGCGTCAAATGACAACATTGTGGTGGGAGCATCCATATCACAATACGTGCTTTTCAGCTTTCCCTCCCATCTTCCCCCTAATGATCCGGACTGGACAGCTAGTGCCTTTTGTTTTAAAGTAAACAATGAACATTATACGAGTTTATTTTTACAACCAGTGCTTAGAATAGCAGAATACTAAAATAGAGTTTTATAGCTGAGATAGGAACTTCATGCCCTCATTATACAAAGAGTAAACGAATGCCCAGGTCACCAAAACATCTTCCATAACAACTCAGAGAAGGGACTGGGACAAGTGTTGTGGAAAAGAGAAGGAGCCTTCTCCTGTCATATTTGGAGGGTATAAAACCAGTAGGTATATTTATTGATGAGACAATAAAAAAATTCATAATCCAGGATGCTTGTGATTCAAGGGAAATCCTCTAGGAAAAGGGAAGCCTTTTTCCTACTTAATCAGGAGGTTAATCTGCTCAATGCCAGGGAACTTGAGATTCTTCAACCTGAATCTTTCTAGCTTGGGGTTACACTTTTTAACTCTTAGGTAAGCAGCGATATTCAACACAATGGGGATAAAGATACTCCATTTTCAGATCTTATGACTGTTTGAGAGAATACCACCAACTTTGATATGATCATTTTGAGTCCATCATTTCAGCTGCAGCACAGTCTAGCCAAACTGCATTGCACGCCTGAAAGGACTGCTTCTATTCTGCCATATCTTAGTTATCACGGTCTGTAGCTACTGCCTTTTCTGCAGGAACGCTCAGTTTTCCTGTTAAGGTGAAGATGTGTGTAGCTTCCTTATTTTCCACCTCTTGTGATAATCTTCCCTCACCGTGAATGCTGTGCCTCCCATGTTCCAAAGCTGCCTGGCAATCTTCTGAGGAAGGGTCTGGCAAAATGCTTGCTGTGCCAATGGAAGCTGGGAAAAGCCTCTGGGCCCCCGCATCAGCCCCAAACCCTTCCACACCCCTGAGCCTCACTGACCAAGTTTGCTCTGGGTTCTGTGCTTGTTTCCAGTCTGTGGTACTTGTTGATGTCCAAGCAGACAGACTACCTCCTGTCCTACTTTCTATTTGTCACTGAGATAAATTGGAGCTTACCCCAAGAAAGAACTTGCTAAGTTTTATATAGTTATAATAAAATCCTCCAGAAATAAAATTGACTTTAAAAAGCTAGTTTCCTTTACCTCCTCCTCTATCAAGCTAGCATTTTACATGTGGATTTCTACCCTGGCTGATACTTTTCAGCCAGGGTAGAAATAATATTTTTAAAATTTTCATAAAAGATCCCTGTGGTCACTGGATGTTAGTGTCTGCTCATTTATTTCTTCCTGGTTTACCTTTTTATTTGAAATATTTTCCTTTTTATTTTTTACCATTTATTTCAATTCACCAAAATATATTTCTGTGCTTTTCAGGAGAATAACTACTTTATATTTCCCCAAGGAAGACTTGGCAGGACCAGGGTTGCTGAATTTGCATAATATTTCAAAGAAAAAACAAGTCAGTTGTTAATGCTGAACCAGAGTATGCCAGCTGTTCATGCAAAATTGAGTCTGTGCTCTTGAAATGCAGGTCTTAGTGGGACGAACAACAGAAGCATAAACACAAAAGGGACATTCAGGTGATCTGTAATATGAGTCACTGACTGCTCAGCCACAAACTTTGCAAGAAGAGTTACTGAGGCAAAAACTACCCTGTTTATATAATTATCACAGTTGTAAGAGTATTTGGCAAATGTACTACTAGATTTTTGCCTCTTTTTTTTCTCATATCTTTTGAGATCACAGTATTAACTTTTTTTTTTTTTTTTTTT